TTCCTTCCTTCCTTCCTTCCTTCTTGCTGCATTCACATTCCTCTGTGTCACCAAGCTGCTCCCAGTCCGGTCTGAGCAAGGTTTAGAGAGGGCAGCTGTGACCTGGAAAGGCTCTTTGAAAGCACAACGTTTAATAAGGGGGCTCAGCGGTAAAGAGAGGTCCGGTGCCCACCAAAGGGCCGCGGTGGTGTGACGCCCCTCCCCCATCTATCTTTCAAAGACCACTCTGCCTCACTGTGGAGCAGGGATACAGGGCAATGATGGACACCAAGGGCTGCTGGGAAGCAACTGCGGTAAGCCAGACACCTGCCTGTAGGGGCCTGGGTGCCCTGGTGGGGGTTGCCTTTGAGCTTTGGAGGTAACATCGTTGCTCTCCTGCCTGCCTGCCATGCCGCTGACAGGCCCGGAATGGCCATCCTTCCTTCCTTCCCTGGCTTTGATGGCCTGTCCAGCCTGTGGTCCTCAAGGCTCTGAATTATTCAGCCCAAGAACCAGGCAGTGAGTCGCATGTCTGCCCCAGGCCGCAAAATAGATTATCTTTTTTTTTTTATTAGCTATCCCTTGTTAACTTATAATTGCGATCATGTAACATTTAATAGAGGCACAAAGCAATCTTCATCGCTGGCCCACAGTCATTCATTAGCTAACAAGATGGAGCGGCTCATAAAAAAGAGCCGTTAAAAAAAAAATTCCGGAGAAATGGAAAGCGGGTGGTGAGACAAGCTCTGGTTAACAAAGACGTAGGCTGGGGGAGGCGGGTCGGGTGTGAGCTGAATAGCCCGGTCCTGATAAGCCACAAAGCAGAGCCGGCTGCTCCTCCTGCCCGCTGCCTGAGTCAGAGGAGCAGGGATGTGTTGGAAATCCAGCAATGTAATTAGCAGGTTGCATCATGCCTCCATTATAAATTACAATGGGCACAAAGAGGGTGGATGGAGGGGCAGGGATTAGATGGGGTAACCTGATCCCCATGCCAGAGGGGAGGGCAGAGAACTCAGGACCTGCCACCCGGACACTCAGCGACCTGAGTAGCCTCTACCTATCCGTGGCACAGGACGGGGGATGGGAGGCGGGGGCGGGGCACGGACTACACCTGCTCAATGGCTGCTTTGTGCAGCCCGGGAGAATGATTTACTAACTGGGGGAATCAGGAGGTGTGAAAGAGGATGGCCCTCAGCCCTGCCATTGTCTCCTGTCTCCTGGAATGTCCTCTGGCTCCACCCACCCATGCACCTGTGCACACGCTGGGTCTCGGGGATGGACACCAGGTGAGGAGCTTTCTCTGGGAGCTGAGTGATAAGATCTAAAGGGGCTGAGCAGAGGGGCGGGGGCCACCAGTTCGGGGTTATTGAGACTCAGCAAACAGGGGGTGACCCACGGTAGCTTCTTTCTTAGAAGAGGTGAGGGGAAGGGTTTGGTTGTGGGAGCTCAGGTCCAGTGACAGACGAGCCCCCTCCTAGGACCCATCCTGAATTTTACCACTTCTGAACGGGTGGTGTACAGGCAAAGCATTTCACCTCTCCAGACCTCAGTTTTCCCCACTTCAATCTACCTGCTGGCTAAATGACCATGGTCAGTAATTTCCCATTCCTGTGCCTCAGTTTCACCAACAGGCCTTATCACAACTGGCTGTGTAACCTAAGACAAACTACCCATCCATCCACCCCCTTTTTGGATCTCTGTCCCCATTTACAAGGATAGGTGACCCATGCAAACTTGAACAAATCCCGCTGGGCCTAGGCAGCCAGTTAGCCTGGGAGGCCAGGGAACTGGGCTAGTAGCCCTGCAAAATCTGTGAATCAGAGCCTAGTGAGGCGGAGGTGAAGGCACAGGAAAGGCAAACTGAGGTGTGGATGGCATCACTCCACCTTCGCCCGTGTGGAGACACACCCTGTTCTTCCTCCTGGTGTGAGCTTGCCTTTCAACCTGGCCTCTGCAAACAGCCTTTACTCCACAGTGTTTTCTTAGCAGCCCCATTCCTGTGTGCAGGAAATAATCCCATTAACTGGATTATTGCTACGGAGGAAAGACAAGGAAACGGCTGCCCTAAAGTTCAATGAACTCGGCTCCCTCTTGAACGGAAAACCACAGAGCTGAGGCAATTGCCCAGTAGCACACTTTCTTTGAACACAGCTTGGCTGTGTGAGTGCCGTTCTGCGTGCAGGGTGTAGGAGAGGGAAAGCAGCTGGCCCGAGCCGCCAGCCACCCTCAGTCACTCCCAGGTCTCCAATCTCTGTGGGCCCCGGTTTCCTCAAAGTGAGGAGATGGGACACCGGTAAGGGTCGGGGAGTGGGCGACCATCTCAGTCGGCGCTACCCTCTCTTGGACCCCAGCCCTGGCTGTCCCCTCCATTTCTGCAGAGGCCTCCTATCTCTTTATTAGACACCCTGCTAAATATTGAGTCTGATCACACTATGTCCCCACTTAAAGGCGTAGAAATGCCAGCTCTGTAGTGCCGCGTGTTAGCGGGGTTCCCAAACTGTTAGAGCCCATGGATGCCTTCCTTCCCAACCACTGCTCTCCACTGTCCCTCCAGCTACCCTGAATCAGCTGGTCCAGTCCCACCCAGCACACCCCAAGTTACGTTGCCCCTCTGTACGCTGTTCCAACTGTCCATTGCCTGTCTCTGTGGTCAATTCAGGTTCAGCCTTTAGAACCCCACGCCAGCATCACCTTCTGCTACAGGCCCTCCTCTGGTCTGTGCCCTACTCCTCCACAAACTTGGGGACAGTTCTGTCTTCCCATTCTGCCTGTACCATGTCTCTGAGCCCCCCCTGAACTCCTTGGGGGAGGAGCCAGAGGCTGGGGGAGGGGATAAAATAGAAATAGCATATTCATTGACCTATTCATTTATTTGTGTCATCTGAGTTCCCATTGAGGGAAGGGGTGGGGCTGGGACACAGGTACCAGTCTCAGCCGCTGTGGACACTTACAAGATACTCCAGGCTCCTCGGAGGCCTTTGCCTGGGATGTTGCCGAAGCAGATTTCCAGTATGGGCTGACCTCCAAGTGGGCAGAACCCTAGGATCCAGAGAGGCAGAGGGACCTGCCCTCCTGGCTTGCTGGACCAGGACAATCAGCAAACTCTCTGTGGGCAGCAGGCTCCATCAACATTGGCCAGCAAAAGGGGGATGAGGAAGAAGAGACAGTGAGGGACATCTGGAGGTGTCGCTGTACCTGTGGGGAGTTCCCCCTGCCCTGCCATCATTAATGAGGTGGCTGTCCTTGGGCCCATATCATGGAGCAGGTGACCACTCTTCTGCTGGGTCAGGATGACATGAGATCCCCAAATTGTGACGTCACCCAGGCATCTGGCCTTGGGTCAGTCTGCTTGCGAGTGGAGTTCCACAATAACAGCAGCTCTGGCTGCTGGGTTCCCTTCTCAGCAAGCAGAGTGCACACCAGGCGTGGGC